TCAGATTACCATCACACAGCCCGGGGGGGAGATTGTTTACTAGCCGACAAAATGACGTCCTGCCTATCTGGCCATCTACCACGTTATGTTTTTTGGCTATTCTGTAGCCGTTTGCTACCATAAAAAGCCTCCTTCAATTCATTTAAAAACACAAAAGGTGCGAATGACCACTAAACACTACCCGATTCGAGATAAACATCGTTCACTTGTTATAGCACCAGTATTGTAAATATTATTTAGTTAAAGCAGCTGTTACATACCCAGGAAAAAGACTCCTTACTCCGGATTCGTGTTTGTAACAAAATAGTTGGAGACGCCCCCCTCCGTTGGCATTGGCGCACACTACAATACGCGTCATTTTATTTTGAATATCACCCGCTAAAACCGAGCCAGCGTCTGTGAAACAGCAGTGTCTCCATTTGATGAAACTTGTGTATAGACATGCGAGCTCGACATCTTTGGAGAAGAAAAAAATAATTGGGAATAGTAGTGGGAAGTGAATAGGCTAAGTATATTTATTTAAGTTTTGTACATGCCGGTACGTATTTGTACTGTATTTAGATTGTATTCTTTTACTCGGCTGTACTTTTTACTCCACTACGTTTTTGCCCGCTAAAGTTGCCAGCTTCTTGTCAGATTCATATTTAACGTACAATACATGTGATCAGCAAATAAAATATAACTTTTTATAATTAAACGTATATAACTGATTCAAATTATCCTGCTATATCACTGTTACATGTTAATGGGTCAGTAACGACACTTAGCAAAGTGGCCAGTCTGTATTGTAACTACTTTTCCTTCTTTAATATTTTGCTGGTAATAGGCTACTTTTTCCACTTTTACTTAAGTAAACATTTAAATGAGGGCTATTAACTCATACCAAACTATTTTTACATGTGTTATGACTGCTTTTACTAATAAGTAAAAGATCTTAGTGCTTCTTCCACCGCTGTTTGCTAATTTTTTTTTAGACCAACTCATAATATTGTGAGTAGGCTACACTGTACAGTTATTGCACTTGTGAATAAATTTACTTTCAACCCAGCAATTGTTGTGTTTGTATTTTCCATAATGTTTGCCAACAAAGGTAAAAGGAGAAAATCTGAGTGAATATTGTATAGCCCTAACCTATACTGTTAGTTTATATGAAAAATAATTGTGCTGGAATTGTTGTGGGCCTATCTTACATTTTACCTGTGCAGTTCAATGCAGCAGATCTACTGTGCCACAAGAGAATACCTCTCTCAACACATTACACCAGAAGAATTTTTCTATTTCTTGACATTAGTCTCAACTCTTATCACCTATTGGTTCCTATGAAGGCAGTGGGCAGTACTCTATACTGTAGTGCAATTATTGCTTTTAAGAGAGGCACATTGTCTATTTAAACCATGAATGAAAGTACTATAAATTATGCCTTTTCTCTTCACCTAAATATTTTAGGAGTAAACATCTACATTTGTTTTGACAATCACACTGAATTAAAAAGAAGTTAAATTAGTTACATTTATTTAGATGATCAGTAAAAAAAAAATCTACACAAGTTAAGAAAAACTGGTAACACATTTGTGAACCTTGCTATTTTGATTTACTTTCTTCTAAAGACTAAACTTAGGAAAAATAAAGACATGGTGAGAGTCTTTCCCCAAGGAGGTTGGTAAATCCAGCCACAAGACTCTTAATTTCATTTAAGTCATGTATGGGAGGCTGTCTTTATGATCTTGAAGTTCTTGTTTTGAGCATTTACACTCCAGAGTGCTTTATTCTATTAGAAAACCTCCTCGAAACCCTCTAAGGCATGAATTCTTATTTTAGGAGAAAAAAAAATATTTTACCCTAGTTTTTGAGAGCTTGGGGGTCCCTGATAATATATCAATCATAAAATGTGTTCCCCCCCCTACCAGATTTTGGTTTGTTGCCTCTGGTCAACAAGATGCAATGAGGTTACTAAAACATCAAGGTTTTTTAATATTATATATTAAGTGTAATGAGGAACAAACAAGCAATACATTAGAAAAAGTTTTATTTTAACATCAAAAATATCAAGTTTTATTTCAATCATTAACCGCAAATGGTTTCAATTCAATTTTATTTTTACAGCGCCAAATCACAACAACAGTTATCTCATAGCGCTTTTCATAAAAGAGCAGGTCTAGACCGCACTCTGGGATGTTATTTACCGAAACCCAACAATTCCCACCAAGAGCAAGTACTAGGCATCAGAGGCAAGGAAACACTTGCCTCAGTTTACCAATCAGTGGGTTAGAAATTAGATGCAGTGTGTGGTTGTGTTTCTGAATGTGTGTTCCTATGGGCTACTGATTGAATCGTTTGTGTTTTTCTTTTTCTACAAAGCATAATCTCTATTATTCTGTATGGAACCTCAGGAAACAGTTGGTGTTGGATGTGAAGCACCCACTGATGTCCATGCACACGCACACACACACACTCTCACACACTCACACTCTCACACTCTCACACACTCACACACACACACACACACACACACACACACACACACACACACACACACACACACACACACACACACACACACACACACACACGTGTTCATTACATACAGTATGTTACTCAACTGACTGAATCTACTCTTCCTCACTGTCACTCTCCTCAAGCTCACTGTCCTCACTGTTGGAAGGAAGAAGCCTAACTGCTCGATCATGTTCCTTACACCCATAAAATGTTTGTGCATCCATTTCCTATGAGTATAGTAGATAGTAAAGCAGAAGAATGATTATGGTGATAACTATGCATCCCTGTGGTCTAACTGCCCAATGCTGCCCTGAGACAACAAATGAAAAAATACCATTTTACTATATAAATAAAGACAAAAGGTGTCTTTATTCAATCAAATATGCTTCTTCACATATTCATGTGCATCAGATATTACGAAAGGTCAAACCCACGCCAATCTCAAATTTCATTGGTCACAGACTTATCATCAGACTTGTAATGTGATATTAAAAAAATTAAAGGAGGGGTGTGGGCGCCAAAATAGTGGTTTGTTGCCTGAGGGCAACACCATTTCATAGAGGGTTAAGTCGTCCTGCAGAGCCCAAAACGGTTGATTGATGGAGGGAGAATTGTACACAGTCAATTTGTCCAAGATCATAGAAATGCTACATGAGTTCTATTTAGAATCAACCTTTTTACATTTGTCTATAATTCACAAGCTATTCAAGAGGCTTTTTTCTTTTATTAGGTTGTGCGTTCATCAAAGTCTTTGATTCTGATTATCAGACCTTTTCTACATACTTTTTTTGATGCAGGCAAAGGCTCAGCAGTAACAACAAGAAACAGAATTTTTGATTCATAGTTTGAATTCTTGGTCTCACCAATTTTGTTTGATGAGAGGATAATTAGAGGTCTTGTATTGCAAATTAATCCTTCTTGTTAAGTCTGTGACCATACCATCAGGCATAGGATTCAGAGCTTGTGATGCAGGATAAAATTTCAAAAGTTTGAAAATTGTCTGTGTGAAGGTGCTCCATTAAGACAAGGGGTGGTCACTGTCTAATAAGGCTGATGATGGATGTTACTCTTGACTGAGAGGATACCGTCAGATAAAAACATTAAAGGGTTTTAACTATTTCAAACTTGAACGTTGCTTAGGAGAGAAAACAGTCTACCAGCCAAAAAACACTCACTCGATCTATATTATATGCACACACAGAATCTTACTCTAAGCTTTACTACTGCAATATACAGCAGTAATTTGCCCCGAGGACATCATATCACACCCAAAAATAAGCATTGCTGAGAGAGAAATACCCACACACTGCTGAATTCAGCTCCCAGCATGCTTCTTGGTTGCAGTGTTTCAACAGACTGGGAGTACACAGCATTCTGTGGGTATTCCCTTTTCGGTGCTGTTGCTTACGATGCTCACTTTGGTGTGGTGGTAAACCCCACAGTCTAGCTAAATTCACTGTATTTGTTGAGCTTATGCAGTAGTTTAGGAGTAGTGTTTTAAGAGGAAAGTGATGTTTTGGACCTTCAGATGTCATCTGAAATGACTGGTAATCAGTATCAAGACTTGTAATGAGAGCTAAATTTGGTTTAGGTTAGATTCAGTTTAAGATGTGTAGAAAGCTTGAAAGCCATTGTCTCGTCTACACTACACAGCCTGGCATATATAGATTACTGAGACCAAGAGAGACAAATTTGAGCATTAAAGAATCTGACAATATAACGGTCCATATTTGTTTTTTTTAAACTTAAGGATCTTTGATTTTTAAACGAATTGTGATGGACGTAGATACAGATGAGTGGCTGTACTGAAATAAAAAAAAACAAAATCAATATTTTGTTTTACTGATAGTGTGGATGTATATCTAGACCCCCACTGATCTGATTTTTTAAATATGCACTGATTGTTTGGGCTGCTTGAGAGCAGAGGAACAAGCTGAAAACTAAACACAACCTGCATAGATTAGGAATATTAGCACTCATTTGAAGTTGTTTTTCTAAACACTCAACAAAAATCCAATTCACTCCTTTTGACTCTTTGGAAATACACAGCTCCTAGCGACTATATGCTCCACTATGTTCCCAAGCTTATAGGTAGCTTTGTCTGCCGTTTGGTGCTGGGCAGGTGGGTTTATTAGAGCTTTTTTGCTGAAAACCACTACCAGCAGCAACTGAAAATGAGACATCTTGGACCCTTTTGATTTTGTTTGAGACATTAAATTGAACTCAACTTCTTATCTCTCCATATATGTGCATGTTTTCTTTATATTCTCTTTTCTTTACAAGTTTATACACCTTTTTTTATGACTTGCATTAGAAAAGTCTAAATAAATGTATACAGTAGTATACATTTATACAAAGCAGTCAAACTATGATTGATCATGGTATTTTCAATTTGGCAAACGATTCTTGATTGGAAAATGAGAAACATTACCTTCCCAATTAAACTGCAGAGCAGTTCTACTAAATCAGATTAGCATGCCCACAAACACACACCTTTACAAACATATGTTGACATAGTTTGTATTTAATACAGTATAGCTTGATTCAATAGTCATACGAATGATAAAGTAATAGGTTATAATAGAACAAATATAAAATTAATGTAGATAACTGTATATCCTGGGTAATCGTATGAAAACAGTTGTTGAATACAATAGAAAAATAAAATAGGGCACATTTTGCGTCCATCATTAAAAGGTAAAATAATTTTAAAATCAGAGTGCATGAGGATGGCAGACTTAAAAATGCTTTACTACAAGCAAATTCAATATGAATTCTGTAGCAAAGAACACATTTTTTTTCACCTGGCAACAACATAATGCAACGTATGACACAGACACTCAGTTTTTGTACATGTACTCTATAATAATGGCAAGATACTGGGACCAGATGAAATCACTCATTACAACCACAGTCTGTAGAACTTAAAAGTAACACAATAATAATGAAATATACTTCAACCTAAATTTCAGATTCTCAAGGTAGGGTAGAGACAGATTTGTGCATGCTATTTCAGCAATTCTGTCATTTATTTCTGGTTTCTCTGTAAAATCCTCTTGATTTGTCCCAATAAAGCTCTATTTAGATCTTTACAGTTAGTCCAAAATGTCACTAAATGTTTTATATTTAAGCATTACTAAATTTAACAATAACAATCAAGTTATCACAGCATCACATGTAGACCCACAGAATTACTATTGAGTAATTTTATTAGTCATCCCATTCTATTGTCATGATGACTTATCTCAGAGCACATTGGGAATAGTTATTTAAAAGTGCTAAGACATGATTTGTGTAAAAAAATAAAAAAAAAAAAGTAAAGAAAGTATTGCACTACTCATGAGGTCTTAACTGATGACTTCCACGAATGTATACTTTAATGGCATAGCCACTGCAGACTGCTCTAAAATGTGTGTGTAGGCGCTTAGCAATACATTCCCACAATCACCAAAGCATGATGGCACTGCTAGTGAGCAAAGGCTTGACAGACACAGGTCACTGTCTGTACTGCGAGTCAGGCAATCTCAATGTTTAGGTGAAGTGGAAGGTCTGGGTTTCAGTGGATACATTTGGAAAAATAGAAAAAAAAACTACAACTTAGGAGGAATTCACATGAACAGCAATTTAATGAGTGATGACCAAAGGGATGTAAGGGCCATTTTGAGTTTATAGCCTGATCATTTTGGATGTGCTTTACCCCTCTTTATATATATATTTACTGAGGCAGCGGAGAATGCATCATGCAACCTCAAAGGAATACAACAACTTCTTGTCAAAACACTTTTTGACTAAATAGTTTTTTGGCAATAGGTTGGGCAGTTTCACCTCCTGTGTTCAGTATGACTCTCCTGAGACAATGCAGAACTAGCTCGTACCATCTACGTGACATATGCCATGTGCTAAAAATGCACTACAGTGAACACAATTTATCCTGGGCACAGGAGGTGTAAAGTGACCTAACTAAAACCTTTTATTGTTGCATGACAGTGGAGCTCATGCTCCCTGTTTGGAATGAAAGTAATGTACTTAGTTAAAGGATCATTTCACCCCAAAATGAAAACTGTGTCAGTTACCTATGTCTCACCAATCTCACTTGAAACACCAATAAATACAATTTATACATAAAAAGCATAAAAGCGCTTGGCATGGAACTACAATGGTTACTTCATGCATCTGACCAAGATATTGTCCATGTACAGTAATTATGCCTATGGGGCATTCATTTGGCTACAACAAAACTTTAGTGGAGTTTTAACTGATACGACATGATGGATAATGAGTGAATTTTTATTTTGGGGTGAACTACTCCTGGGTCCCCTAAAACATTGGTTTAAAGTTGCACATAAATAAACAAAAGGTTAATGTACATTACCTCTATCACTTCACCCAATGTGCCTAACCACAGACCACAAAACTGCACAACATAAGAGCAGTTTGTTCACGCCACCACATATTTTCTGAGATATGTCAAGCTAAAAGAAAATGTCACATTGTTGAAAGCGAGAATGTTATCACATTGAAACATCATGTCAACACTTGTCTTGTCTCGGTCTGGCTTGCCAATGAAGAATGGCCTAGTTTCAAAAGACAGCTTCTGTGAGGAAGTTAATTTTCCTGGCCTCACTAATTGGTCACACAACACAGCTGGGGGTTAACAGATTGACTGCAGAAATCTCAGGGTTTATGGATTGGTTTGGGAAGTCAGGGCTGAAGCTCACTGATTGGCTGGGAGCAGGCCCTGCCTTTGGGCATGCTCCAAAATGGCATTGTAGCAGAAGTAGTACTGGTCCGGGGTTTGAATGCTGAAGGCCCTCTGTGTTCTCATGCGTCGCACCGTCTGATATACATTTAGTGAGCCTACATCCTGTAGCTGGGACAGGCAGATGTCCAGGGCACAGAAGGTACCTGCCAACAACAGGGTTTGTTAATAGTGTTGTTGTTAATTGTTAACGTCTTTAAAAAAATGTTAGGCAAATTAAGGCTGTGTGTTCAAATTGGTCTAAAGCTTTATGATCTCATCCACTCCACTTAACCATATTACATGAGCCTTGAAGCTCATAATATATTTTAAAAACTGGGTGTCAGTCCCTGAAATCTGATTAAGACAAAATGATAAATGCCAACAACCACATGTCTAGCTTTAGGGAAAATACAATCTCAGGATCTCACCTGTTCTCCCAATCCCTGCACTGCAGTGGACCACCATTGGGGGTCCCAGTGGGTGGCCTGTCCACTGAAGTCCCAAAGCCTTCACCATTTTCCTCTGTTGTCTCTTCACAGCTCCCAGGAAGTCAATGAGAGTCACTGCTGAGGTGGGAACGCCGTAGTCAGGCCAGCTGAGGTACTGGAAATGACTCACTTGTCTCTGTTCACATGTCTGAATGGATAAAAACTTTTTTTAGTTACATGATTGTTGTGCATTTCCTGTAACTTTGAAAATTGCATTCGGTCCTTAAAATATGGCTTGATCGCACCATTAAAAGGCAGGGTTCGATATTTCTCTCGGCAAAAGAGTTAAATGAGAAAATCAATACCACTTTCATGTCTGTACCCTATATATAAAGCTGGAGCCAGCAGGAGTTTAGCTTAGCTTAGCTTGGCATAAAGTAAAGACTGGACTGTTTTACAGTGTGTTATGTGCTGGAACCATTTCTTGGCCAGGAGCAGTGAGTTCCTGGAGTCTTTGCTGGTTTCCTGACAACCTGATGGTGACGACAACACCAAGAAGTCACTATGCCTGACCAAGAAATAGTTCCAGCAGGGTTCAGGGAAAAAAGGACGGCTACATTGCTTATCCTGCTTCCATGTGGCCTGGATAAAGAGTGGAAAATGGATCTCACTATAGCAATTTGTTGGCCAGAACTTCCACTGAAAAATATCTTTGACTCCATTTGTATGTACCTTGTGTGCTTTTTTTATTTTCCCCAAGATGTTTGTTGACAAACTGAATTTTGTTGCTACATGAAAAACCTCCCTGGTATGCACAATCCTGTGGCAAAACATATTCTTGCAGTGGTCCATGGCTGTACCTCAGTGTTGTGCAGTTCGAGGGTGGTGTGGTTGTAGTGGGTGTGGTGGTCAACCCTTTGGTTAACCACTGCCATGTGGCCATAGACCTCCTGTCCCCCTTCCTCCAGAGGCCAATACTGTCCACACTTCCTCCGACTGCCCTCATCTGTCCTACAGCACAGAGACAGGACACACATACATACATTTAAGTCACAGTTTTAATTCTGACCAACCTTAACCTTACCCTTACCTTTTGACCCAACAAACAAGTATGAATTTTTTTTAGAATTTAAAAAAAACCCAAATCAAGTCAAATTACCTGGTTGTCATGACAATAACAAGCACGTTTTGTTCCCAAACCATTCTCCAGAAATCACCATAGGTCTTTTCCAGTGGTCCTATACAGTAAAACAGGAGATTCAAAGCACATTAAAATTACTTCAGCTCAGTCAGTGATCAGTATAATGGAGCACATCATTTTGATTGTTTAGAATAGCAGCCTAAAGAGCTACACTCGTACCAAATACAAATAAAGACAACCCTTACTTTATAGAATAGCAGTAAAAAAAAACAAAAAACATGAACCTTCCCTATTCTTAGCAAATTTATTGCTAATGATTCTTAATTCACAAGATTGACCTCAGTATGTATTGTTGTATGCACATCCAGTACCTGCCCCTCTTAATACATTAAGCCATCTGCTCTCAAGGGAATGATAATTAAATCTTTGCATAAATACTAAGCTGAATGCTGCTATCCTAAACAATATTACAAAACAATTTCAATTTTTCCCACCACAATTTATGGCCCCACACTCATGGTTTATGTTCGGATATTTTCACGAATAGTCATCTCTGAATGCTCTTCAGTTAAGATTGGTGTACCACAGGGGTCTGTGCTTGGTCCATTGCTATCGACCATTTTCTGTGCTACCCCTTCGTTGAACGTCAGTTTTCAATGTTAAGATAGAAAGGTTTGTAGGGTTGTGGGTTTGAGTTTTCTGAGCATAAAGACCACACCCAACTGGCAAATTAAATTGGATAAATTCGACTTTTTCCATTGCAAATTTACTAGCCTTGCATCACCAGACCAATTCAAATTATGATTTCAGTAACTTTAAAAGGCAAAAACAACCCCCCGATATGAGAGCAAACATTGGCTGCTTGGAGGGGGCTTGCTTTCATCCAAAAAGGGGTGGGGGCATAACACAAGGGCAAAGTACCCAGATTTGCTGCTCTTATGTGTTAGATAAACTGTTGCGATTGGCCAGACACAGGCCAGGTCGGCTGCACATCTGTCTGAATGGAGGGAGGACCAGACGCATCTGCTAGAGCAAATAAAACATGAGCTTGCAGATTTGTCATGTTCCCAGGCTACAATACTACTGACTTTCTTGACAAAAATATCCATGTAACCATCCATAAACACAAATAAATATTGAAGTATCCCTTTAAAGACTTTAGCAATACAGATAGCATTAACTAAAATATGACAGTTGTCATACCTTGAGTACCAATGTATGCATTCCTTTGTTTGTAGCCGTCCATGAAACTCGCATTGATGTAGTCTGATCTCTGTGGGAACAACACAGCTGTGTTACAAAAATGAAAGTAACCCTTGTTTGATCTGAAGCATATTGTGTCAGTTTAAGAAAACACTGAAAGGTGAACTAGATGTAAAACTCAGTTGTTTTCATGGGGCTGATGGAATATTCAATTATTTTTGAGGAGCAATCCAACAAAATGGAAATACTTTGGTTACACTCTCTCAGGCTGGACAAAAAACAGTTAGCTTGTGAATAAGAATACTGGCAGTGTGGCAGCCTTTCAAAATGTTAATGCCTTGCATATTTCTTAGCATCTGAGTGTGACCATGAGTGGAACTAGCAGTCTTTTTCTTTTGGTATGAATGACACCAGTAATATGCAGATTTAGAAAAAGTACTAACCTCGTTCCTTCTGGCTTTCAAACGAACTCTTGTTTGATCAAGGCACAGCACGTCTCCATAGCGATTCCTTTCCTGATTGTAGGCTAATCTGTGGACAAATACCAAAAATTAGCACTGAAACTTACTGTTGTAGCCAGTTTCAACCATGACTTAACATTGCTAATCTACAATTTGTAAATCTGATGTCCCAGATTTGAATAATTTCTGATATTTATAATTTCCCAGAGGAGCACATTCAAATAGTTTGTTTTAAGGTCAACAATGAAAAATCCAAATATATTCAATTTATATAAATGACCAACACAGATATTAAATGCTCACATTTGAGTAGCCTAAACTATGACATCTGTTTTAGGTTGTAACTCTAATCATTCCCAAATTCATTGCTTTTACAAAAAGGGAATTAGTAATAATTTGTTGTTTTCAGTAATGACACCGTGCTTGTGTTTGAAAATCCAGAGCTCCAATTGTTAGCCCTGAAGTCTTTAGCAGATACACATGTCTGCTGCTGTAAACGCACTGTGCACAGTGGAAGGTTCCAGGTGGCGGTTCTTTGCGGAGCTCCTCATACTCTTGATGGATGCCGGAGCGCTGAAGCCTGCCGAGGTGTGTCAGCAGCTCCTGCGGGCGCATGGACTCGGGTCCGGCAACGTGAATAGAAGCATCTTCTACGGGAATGCCCACCAGCTCGTCCACTGGGTCTACACGACCGTTCTGGCCCGCCAGTAGCTGCTGGTTCCAGCTGTATGCCTCCAGAGGCAGCAAACCGCCGAGGTGCTGGGGGAGACAGTCTCTGGGGAGGTGTTGGCGCAGCTCGGCCATTTTCACCATCTGTACCTGGAGTTTGAAGAAGAAAATGGATCAACATGACCCCAAAATTCAGCTTCTGCTGAACAAATCAAATATCAAAGGTTTACGTAGTAAAAGTTAGTCAACTCTGGTATCCTTAGGTGGAGGGCTAGAGTGGCTGACAGTACAGTTTTTTTTATGTCAAACTGTATTTGTTTGTTTATTCTTGATTGCATGACGAAAATTTACATCAGGCAACTCAGTCTCTAAGAAAATCCATACTAATAAAATTCTTCAGGGACAGTAATGTGGTAGGGGGATAGACTCCAGTAATCCAAGCATTAACATCCCAGAGATATGAGGCAGCAGGGTGGATTGGTGGTCAGACAGAACTCCCTAATCAAATTATCACTTGTAACAATCAATGACACTGAAGTGCCTTGTATGCCACTCCAGATAAACAGAAATTTTCTCTTAATAAATTAGTAGTACACGTGGCACATGTATAAGAAAATTATCAACAAGCCCCTCCCATTTACCCTCTCCCTAAGTTTCTCCTTGAGAAGCAGGCTGAGCAGGTTGTAGGGCACTCGAAACCAAACAGGGGCCCCGACAATCAACACCTTCTTCAGCCTGGCAGGGAACGCCCCCTAGTGGAGAGAGGACAGCACAACTTATAAAAAAACTACACTTTATATCACAAATTCTACAGAATATATTTAATTCTTCTTTAAAGTCATGATTTAGACAATCATGTGCTAGTTTTTTGGGTTTGTAATGAAGCAGGAAAGGTAGTTCATCCTCAAAACAAGACCTGAACAGTGCACTCTCAGTAGCTCACCCTCTTTCAGTTAATTATTTCTTAAAGACAGGCATATCTTCAAGACAATCCAAACATACATTACACTATCTTCACTTTATATAGAGGAACTCTACTTTTGAATTTGATGAGCACAACTCAACTACTACAGTCAATTTTTAGATCAATGTGTAGGCACAAAATATGCCATTGGTGCAGATTTGGGCTCATAAGTGTCTGTGTTATTGTCTCCTCATGACATACTACTAGGTACCTTCCAAAATAAGCACCACTCTGAGTATTACATATGGTGTATGGATTAAATAATTCTTATGCTTGTCAACACATTTGGTGAGTCATTCATTTTGCCCTTTGGACAGCCACTAAAGTCCTTGAAGACACCAACTCTGTTTTAATCAATCCGCTTCTTCACAGGATGAAGAACATAACCCAAAGTTATGTATTAACCTAGCTCTGGAAACGAGTGAATCATTTTTAAACAATGGCAGGCAATCCAACCTTGAGCAGGTTGAGGATCTTCTTGCTGAGGTCCAGCTCAAAGTTTGTGTAGTTGGAGCCTGCCATGTCGTAGATGAACACCAGGCCGTTTCTCTGGGTCTCAAAGCTGTGGGCAAACAGAAGTTAAGACTTCTAAGTTAATGTTTTGGATATCTTAACTAAAAGGTCAGGTAACAGCAAACTCATGTAGGACAAGTGCACCCCCCCGCCATTTTGGAAATCAAAATGGGTGATGTTATGTGGTTGATAAGTGAAATGCTGCATCAGATTCCAACGCTAAAGCAGGATATATTATTCTAGGGTAAGGCTGGGCAAAATGGCCAAAATTATTATGATATAAACAGTTCATACCATTCAATATCGATAATTATCACAATAAATTTCAAGTCATTATTTCTTTCAAATTTAAATGCTGATTTTTGCTCCTGAGTGAAAAGTAGAAGAAATCTGATGGTTAATTAATTGTGTGGTTAAACATTTCTTTATGGCCAGAACAAACACTTGATGCCAAAGGGTGTAACACTTCACAAATCTGAGGTAGAATATTCAAAACCATTATGATCAAATCTTTTTTCAACAACTATGATTAGTAAATCTTTTCAGTCCCTTTTAAATGAAACATCTATTGACAATATATTGAACCTTTGCTATATAGTTTGAGGAAAATTATATTGCAATAATTATCATTATTGTTCTATTGCCCAGCCCTATTCTAGGGAAAAATAAATGTCTAGTATTGATCAAACAAAATTTTACTGATGATTTCAAATAAACATTTTATTTTCAGGTTATCTAACTAAAACCACAGCTCTCACCTTTCCACTGCCCGATCCAGGAGGTAGAAGAGGGCCTGAAGCACCACATGGTTACCTGTCTTGTTTGGGTGATGAAGTTTGGCTGTGTACAAGGCAATGGAAGCCCCTGAAGGGTCCCGTACACTCTGGAAAAAACAGAACTAACAGGTTATATCAAAATTCAACCTAGTGAGATGAGTTCACTCCCTTTTCACTACCAACTTAATCCCCCTGTACAGAACTGTTGACAATATCAGCACTGGATTAATTCCCTTCTATGCATGCTTAAATGTTCTCTAGAGCAAGACGAAGTTAAACCTGAGCTCTTAGACTCCAAATTTAGACTAAAAAGAGGAAATCGTTTTCTTTGTATTCTGAAAGTTTTATTTATCTCGTATGTGTTTCTACATCTCCAATAACTATCATTATATTTCTCATTAGATGCATGGACTATGTATGCGAATGTTGCCAGTGGATTGATGTGTTTTTCATATAAACCATGTGGTGCTTTTAACCACTTGAAGGAGTTAACTGGGTCTGGTTTACAGTGTGACAACAAGTCAGCCAAATGGAGAATCTGCAAAAAGGATGAACAAATGACCACAGGGGGGCACTTAAGTTCATATGCTGGTTACTGGCATGCTGCCAAAAAGGGCTGTAAACAATTCAGCAGTATGAACAATTCTCGTCTATAATGATGCTGCAGGTCTTACAGCTCTTGTTTTCTTCCTGAGAGGGACACAAAACATTTTTTTTTTGTCAAACCTGATCAGTGTTAAGGCTGTTGGTGTCAAAAGAACTAGAGGCTCTTCACTGAAGCTGCTGACCTGACATACTACTGTACTGTCCTTTGTAAGCAAATAAGCCCGTGTTCTCGGGCATGGGGGCTAAAAATACCACACACAGGATATGAAGCCCACTGCTAAGGCTGGAGAACTCCGACGTCAGACAAGAGGATGTGCAGCATCAATGCCTCTGTGACACGTCAATGGGGAAGGAAGAGGGAAAATGCAGGATAGTGGGAGTGTGTTTGTGCGTATGTGCCAGGAGGGGGGAAATCTTTGATGATTTGGCTGACAAAGGGCTAAATATATCTGGCCACACCAGTCAATCAACAACTTGCACCCAAAAAGGACCCTTAATTCCCCATTATGAGAGCTTGATTTTGAAATTTGTACTCTAAGCCTTGCTAATTAGCAAGTTGGGACCCTTTTAAGTGTACGGTATTGATTGATTCTCAAACTAAGCTGCTTCCTTGACCAAGTCAAGAAGAACCTAAATGTCTGAAAGGTAACACATCGTGAAGAGGACGAAGATCCTAAGCAACATAACATGTGGAATAAAGACCATTTTTGTAAACTTTGTCACAGCCTGAGCAATTATGTCCAATACAAAATTGAAGCATGTTTAATTATATCCTTTATCATTTTATCAGTAAAGACTGAACTGCACTGAAACCAATAGCACAGAAGCAGCATTTCACAACAAAACAATAACAAATAACATAAGCAACAGCTGAATATGTAAGATGAGATGTTAAAGGATAACCTTGTTGTTCTATGATTTTCTTGTCAACAACGTCCATGAAAATCCCAAAAGGTCTCAATACTTTCTGACTTTCCCACCATACCTGTGACATTCTGACCCAAGCCCATTGGTTTCTACTGAAATGATGTCAGTCTTTAAAAAACAGGTATTAAGTATTAGTAGTTTTTGCACAACAATGTTGGTCTATAGGACAGAGGAATAAGCTTATCAGGCTTTGGATATACAGACAAATACTTGTCAGAAGGATTTATTCAATGTTGGTTTTGTCCCCCCCCCCCCCCATTTGATTTGTTTATAGTAAATAAATTATAGAATATTGACTGCCTTATCCTTTAATTGTTCTGTAATGTGACACCAGACTGGACCTTTCTATTTAAGGGATGCCAAATGTACAGATTTATAGGAGACTCTTACCAACACAGTGAACTTTCCACTGAGCAACTCTGAGCGCAGAGGTTCTTCCTGAGGCTGAAGTCTGACGATTCCTTCTTTAAGACGCGTTTCCTGAAGAAAAGAGATCACAGCAGGTGAGTCAGGCTGTGGAGTAACTCTAACGGCCTGTCAACTTTGAGGTGAATTCCTTTCTGTGAACAAAGGATTATGCGCCTGACTTTCCTGCCAGGAAGAACCCTCTCTACAAGCTTTCCCCATAATTTTACTTGACACAGATTTTAACAGAGGGTTTGGTTTTCACAGAGGCTTTCTCACTTGATCAAGAAGACTTGATGGAAACTGCATATACTGATTGATTTCAGTTACTGCAGCTCTCTTATTCCTTGTTCTTTCAAGGTAATTTATTTTAATCAATCAATCGTGTTATTGGTAATGGGAGACAAATGTGAAAGAAAGACTAACATGTACAGATATAAGCAGTTACAAAACCAATGGATATATTTTGCTGGAGGGCAGTCATATTCAAAGTAATGTAATATCAGTATTGTAATGTTTGCTTCCTGTTTGGTATGCTTTTAACCACCTCCATATGTAGAATCATAGAGTGACTGACTTTTAACAGATGGAACTTTGTATTAACAATAGTAGCATAATCAATAGTAATGTAGGCAGCAAGAGATGAATGACATTTTTTTTCTTCCTGAGATTTAATGAAAAAAAAAAAGAATGGCCAAACCTATGTTTAATAACACCATCTACAGTAAGTATATTTGAAGATCTTTTGCTCACTGTTTACATGTTATGCCATATTCTTGGAACTAAATCAGTTCTGTTGAATATTAAAATTGTGCTGGATTAAGAGAGTAGTGAATTTTTGTTATGTGATTTTGTGTAAATATGTATACATGTACAAATGCATTGGCATCACTGAAACAACTAACATTTTTTTAATGTGGCACTTACTGGTTTATTTAAGCGCTATGACAACCGCCTCAGTTTGAATGCCAGCATGGCCTGTTTGTACGTCTCACCCCGTGACAAAACAAACACTTCATTGGAAACTTTCTCCCTTAGTTTATTAAGACAAATGACTTGTACACAGCCTCTGTCCTTGTTCTGACACAGCATTAAACCGAGTTAAATGAACTGTAGCGTGGCAGGGGAGACTAATCCTTCTCAAAGTCACATTCAAGGCATTCATAAATGAGTCGTGTTTATGCAGGCCAACTATTCATTGCAGAAATAAGAACCCACCTTGGTGATTTAAGTGACTTTACTGAAAGGTAGGGGGTAAAATCCTGCCATGTCTTGAAGCTATTCAGGTCAGAGTCTGTGCAAGAAGTCTGGGAACTTTCCGTTTGCTGCAGTGGATAAACTGGAGCAGATCTGAGCAGATAAATCCTGTTTTGCATGTTCAAATTTGGCCAGAATTACATTTATAGCAGCATAAACCATTTGGGGACAAAATGACATTCTCTCCCTGGTAGTTATAACGTGGCCCGGAGGAGAAGGTCTTGATTATGTTATTATCTAGATATTATTTTAAGATCATAATGTAAATGAGACTTGCAGTCTGATCCACTGGCCATGCCCTCAAGGTTTCATTTTGATCATTTCCCGGTTTGACGGTAATAATAAATCAAAGCTATTTCAGTGATATGTAGGGAACAGACATCTTTTCTCTGCTACGTTCAATTATGTTCTGCCCTCAGTGAGTCCTCAAACTCCACTCATCTTGTTCTCAGCTATCGCACATAGGCGCCCTCTCAATGTCTCTATAGCAGGTACTTATATACAGCTAGTTGCTATAGATTTACTACTATATCTGTTTTAAACATGGGCCCCTTTCAACTGACCTCCCCAGGGAGGTGGTTAAGGGCATAGCAAACAAACAGGAAACAAAAAGGAGAAGATAATAAATGTTCAAGGAGATGCATAGCTGTTGTTTGCCTCCAATGCTTCAAAAAATAAAAAAGCTCCAAAAGATCCCCCCCCCCCAAAAAAAATCTGCATGTACAGAGAAACTAACTCTTTCATTTGACATATTCAACTATATCATTGTGTTTAATATTGTTTTGCAAGCAGGCCAAAATACGCTACCCTGTGAAACTTCATGTTCCTCATTTATTCTAACCTCACAACTCGGCTGTACCAGCCGACCAACCAACACTTATTTCATGATAAGCTTTAAGCTCTCTGGAAATAATAAGCCTGCATGCTGCTTCTTGAAATAGCCCCCCTCTGTGTAATTCAGTGTGAGATTGGGTGTGTGTCTGGCCTTAGGTTTAAGTGATCTCTTGCTTAGCTAGGGCTTCCAAAGACATTTATGCAATGAAAAAGGCCTTGTGTTACTGTGCTATGGGTGTGGTGAAGATGGTGTACGTGACCTCTACCTTTCTACCTGGGTCTCTCTGGGTAAACCGACATCTTGGTGTTGTTTGACTGCTATCCTTTGTTTTGAAAAGGCATTTTAATACTTTTGATTTTGGTGCAGATAGTTGTGGACCAGTGAATGAGTATGTAGCATGTAACATTATTTTTTACATTCCTAACATTTTCATCAGTTATTTCTGTTGATCTGAAATAGTCAGAAAGGCAAGCAACCACAGATGCAATTTGTTACAGACTTTGCAGCTGTGTCATAATCAAGTCCAAACAACAAGCTAATAAAATACAATTGGTCCTGTGGAAATAATGGCCGATATTCAGTGCACTGTGCAAAAACCGATTTTTCCAATGTGGGTGTAGATTTCATCGATAACGTTGAAACAGAAAGTGTTTAGACTGATGAGATAGATATGATTCTAAATTTAGGTTACAGAAACTATGTTTTCACCAAAACAACCTGATTTATAACTTGAGATGAGTCAGCTAAAACAATTTCTTCAAATAATGAAATCTGCCTTCCCTTGGTCTGCTTTGGTCAAACCTGTTGACAGAAGCCATAGTGTATGCCATGAGCATCACTGTCACAAAGGTCTCAGATAAGGAGAATAAGGTATCCATATCTTTAGTAGGACACGTCTGAGTATCAAACCTTAATACTTGAAGAGTACAACCAAAATGTGTCAGTAATATCAGGTACTGAAAAGTGTCCAGTATTTAAAGTTGACACTGATACCTTGAGTAGTTTGGTACATTTATCTATTTATCTTTGTTTCTCTTTTGCTTTAATTAGTACCTAAACTTGGGTATTGCATTGTTTCCAAAATGGTAAGGTTTCAAATGATACCCAGCTCTCAAAAGGAGCAGATTTTACTTGGGTAATCTGAATTGTCTATATAAAAGCTCCAACCTTTAATGCTGACTTGGTATTAATTATTTATATATTTTTAATATTCTACAAGATGGCCCATTTACGTATTTCCGAGGCATAAAAATGAAATAAAATCTGGAAAATTCATACTGAAAAAGTTCTTGTACATAGACTAAAACTTAATGTTATGAAAATTTGCTTGGACTACATTTTGTTAACTGGTGTGCAGTTCAAGGGATAATAGTGTGAGTTTCCCACTGTGCTAGCCAATTAATTTTCTGATAACATTAAATATTAGTAGCAATATCCAAGGCTAACGTGGAGTGCACAAACTCCTTGTGTCTACATGGACAAGTTGTTCAGCTTCTACCAACATGGTTATCAGAGGGTGCTATACGTCACAACTGTTCTGCTGTTGTGCAAGTTAGTTCTAATGATTTTTGTCTCTTCTTACTCTGTAGCTGTGGAATAGCTCGATGGCTCGGAGAACATCAAACTTGCGAGCCATGAGGAACTTGACAGCCAATTCCCTGGACAATGGTGACACTCCATGCTGACTGGTCCACTTGTTGATTTCCTCCAGAAACTGCCTTGTAGCCTGAAACAGACACAGATGTGGTCACAAACTTGGTACTCCTATAATCGAAGGGTCAAACAGGAAGGAAGCGAAACTGGGCTTTAAACTTGATACATCCTCAGAGGAAGTGCTATCTACAGCCTCACAGAATATTTGACAATTTTATGGCCTGGGAAGAGATCTATGATAGTGTTTTTATATACTGTTGTATAGTCTGAAGGACGATTGGAGCCTTGCTCACTTCATGTGTGTATACAGAATGTACAGTATTTACACAGGGAGGTACAAAATAAAATGTGTGAACTGTAATTTGTGCAGGCAACCAAAACAATTGGTTTTACACAAGTTATTCCTCAGTTTTGCTGGTTCATCTTGTTTGTTAACCACAGTTATCTTGGGAAAAGATTTGGCACTTTGTGGATTGAAAGGATAAAAAAAAAGTGAAAAACAGCAGTGGTTGAGCTAAAAAGAACAAGAAAAATCGAGGAGTGATGCATATAAACGGCAACATGCGAGAACATAAAATAAAATAAAACTTCCATGTTAGAGCGAACAATGCTCACATAGTTTTTATAAAGTCAGCGCAAGAGCATGAGAGGCGAAGAAGATGGAATCCTGCTGAGCTGGAGTTTAAGGCACAAAGCTGAAATAATAACAAGGCAACATACTCAGACTTAATTGCACTTTGCAGTAAAGCCAGTCACGTCTAGTTGTCGAGTGCTGGGACAGTTCTTCAATGAAATTAAAAGGGGTTCTAGGTTTGATTTGTTATCCAAACCCGATTCTGCTTTTCTATTCCTCTTCACCAGGAAGAAGATGATTAATTGGCCATCAACCTGTGTGATGGTAAAGCTTACACATGTTTCAGGATGGAAAAAGATGCTCATTAGTTTCTTGTGAAATCTGTCTGCAGCCATAAGCAAAGAAGCCCAGAGCTAAAAACGATGACTAACAGTATGATGGATTACTGGTGATAATGTGGCATTAATTAGACCCCCTTATACATTGAGATTTAAATACATTAAAGTTTTTTAAAGCCTGCATTACAAAATTAAGTGTGAAGTCTACTAAACCTGCTATAACTGATTTTTTGGCAACGGAAACATAACATGACATATTATCACCTGTGGAGTCTGTTTCTGGCCACCTGGTGAATATAAGTCCAATAGTCACTCATCTTTCTCAGTTTTGGTCTCCACCAACTCAGCAAATCTGGCTCTTTAGAGAATTAATGTCCCTCTATGTTCATCTAGTCGCTAACTGTGTCCGTCTGTCAATTGGTACTGGGAAGGCAGTGTACAGTGGGTTTTTAGAGGTTTTCTGCTGACAACAGCTGCCTGCTGTGGCCAAAAACGACAGTTTGAGAAAAGCGAGAATGAGCCAAAAACAGTAAAGTTGCAGGTTGTAAAAACAAAACAATTAATTGAAAATCTCTGTAGAGCTGAAGAGAACTGCAGAGTTGGGTGATAATTCTCTGTGGCTTCATCCCTATAAGTGACGCCTTTCACAATGTACTCATGTGAGCTATTGTTAATAAAAAAATATTTATTACTGCCAATTTAAAGTAATGGCACTTAATTAGAGAGCTGTTTGCTAGCTGACAAAAAAAAAAAAAAAAAAAACATCATAAGATACTGGTTGAAATCCCCCCCCCCCCAAAAAAACAACCCCACCACATTCATACACTGCATTTTTAATTTGGAATTCCAGCCATCTTGCAAATAACTTTGCATTTACATTTAGCCAGCAGTCCTTTCAGGGGCTTCCTGTCCTCCCCTCTGCTCTTATTATATACTCCCTCAGGAACCCACCCCCACCACCCTCAGCACCCGCAGAGTTAGCGAGTCAGCACCCAGTGAATCGTCAAAAGGCGACAGAGGAGGCAATGAAAGCTTTAACTTTAAACACAGGGTTCCGCTTCTCTGGTGCGGCACAGCAGCGGTGGGGCATGCATGGGAGACAGGAAGTCAAGTTCTGGGAGTCCACAGCTCTTTAGGAATACAAAACGATCACTGACGAGCCCTGAGCCGAAAGACAGGATGCCACTGTCTCTCCTCAGGAAAGCCAGTGCTTTCACAGTCAGGAGGGCCTGTAGCTTCTGCTCTGTTCAGATGCCTTAACATGCAAGGGATGAGGGATAATTGCACCTGACAGGGCTGACGTTGTTTCATATCCGATTCTCAAGGGGGGGGGGGGGGGGGGGGGTGTAATCCTTAATTCTGAGCTTTTCATTGCAGTACAGAATCAACTGTGATCATGTGAAGAAGAGCATAAAACATTGATACATAAACATAAATTGACTAGTAAATGTTTAAGGCATCACATCTGAACTATGAACTACACATTATGCTCCTACAATTGCTTATTTTACTGGGAAATCTAGCTGCATTACTATGACAGAATAGTTCCAATTAGAATACCAATACTTCATTTTGTTAGCAGGTGTCTCTTTTCAGTCCAGTATAAACTATACTAACTATGAGCAAGGAAGTTCATTTTTGATGGGAACAATGTGTAACCCCCCCCCCAAAAAAAAATCTACGATCAAAAAAGGTCCACTTGCTGGCTTTTCAGAGTTTTCAACCATATCTCATGGTCTTCTTCAGCAAAAGAAGCTTCATGACATCAACTGTCTGTGAACGTTGACTGGGAAAGAGTCAGTCCCTGATCAGGAGCCAGTGGACGGCCTTAGAAAGATCAAGGTGGTCATCCTCATGCCTTCCCAGAGATGAGATGAACATATGACCACATGTGACCTGTGTTCAACGTCAGCCCTGCAGCTTAGTCAGCTCCATTTATTGAAGAAGACCACTGAGAAGCGAAGTTGGTGCCATTGATCTGATGGAAATCATAAAGATGATGATGACTCAGGACTTCAGACAGCTGATGACAGTGGGTGACTTCCTTACTGAAAGTGAGTTTGTCTCAAATTGGTTCAAGCTGGACTGCTGCAAAATCAAGCTCTGTCAACCTACTAAACAAGACTAATAGAAAAAGATTGAAGAGGGAAGATACTGTATGCACTTAGAGCAAAGGTTTGTCTTATTGCTAGATGATTTAGTAAGACAAATACATAATTTCAAAAAGACAAATCCGAAGCTACCTCAGAAAATGTATTTGATGTTTCTGTACTTCTGTGGAACTACAAAGTCAGCATCCTAATTCTAATACGCTAATCCTATATCTAATCTAATGAATAATAAAAGTATTCTAATGTGGGCCGCCTGCTCTTTATGCACCGTGAAGCGTTAATCCTTCAGTGTTGGCCAAAGACAACTTCCTGTCAGATTGCTGTCAGGTACGCTCGGATTTCAATGGTCTGACAGCTGCTCTTTCTCTCTTAGCCTTTTAAGGCTGGCCTGCCAACTCCAAGCACTGACCCTCTGTTCCTGGAGAAGCCAGTCTTGTTTGGTTTTTCTGCACTAGGGGCCATATCCGCCAGAGTGGAATGTGAGGATGAACCAGTTTGTTTTCATGATAGCACACCAGACTGCAGTGGAAGAGCGGAGGAGTGACTTATTCAATTCCTGTAGGATGCATAAATATTTGCTTGACTTGCTCCAGTTCTGATATGGAAGGAAAATTTTTCCTCGAAGTTCTTGACTCATTTGAAAACACTCTGTACTTGCACCAACCTCAGGCTGAGAGGTTGGTGCAAGTACAGAATATGTATCCGATCACAAGTCTTTACTGGTTCAGCTGCCTTTATGTCCTCCATTTGTTTTTTGCTAAAATACATGAGTGGGACATTTTAAGCAAGTGGTTTCTGGCCTTCCAATAAAACAGCTGACGTTACATAATCCGGTTTGTTATCAGGGGGTTATTCACTGGTTTTGTTGACACTGACTGTCAATAACTAATTGATTAGGTCCACTGTGTTAGGAACCGCGTGTGCTCTGAGTCACTGGATCAAGTTGTGGTTGGTGCTTCGCCAAACAGCCCTAAAACCAAGTCCACAGGTCCAAAAAGGTTGGAGACCCTGCCCCAGGGAACAACTATGACATCAGAGAAAAATACCACGGGGAGATGGGGCCTGTGTCCAAAATCACTCCCTTATTCACGCAGAAGTCTACAGATTGCTTGTTTTGTCTGACCAATAGTACAAAACCCAAAAGGTAGTCAGTTTACTACCATGAAAGACTATGAAAACTAGCATTTCTTCATATTTGTGATGCTGGATCCAGTGAATTTACAACATGATGAAAAAATTCAAAAAAAACAAATCACTTACAGTAAATAAGTGATAAATTAGCACTTTTGCCAATTCAGTTTCTGTTGATTTACTTATCATTTAATTTACTAATTGTGTCACCTCAACACAATTTGTCACTGGATTAGCCAAAAACACAAATGTACATAAAATGTTGCTAATTATGATTTAAACCTACTGTATACTGCAACCACTAATGCAGTTCTATAGACCACCCCATGGTGCACATTTTGACTTGTTTAGTACAGATCATTTTCATAAACAGCTGCATTTCATTTAGCTGCGTCAGTGCCAGGACGATGGTATTGTAGTGTGTACATGCTGGCTTACTGGCACACAATTGCATTTTTTTGTTGTTTTACCATCATGATCCTTTGTTACAAGAATTGGTCATAAATGTCGCATTATTGATATGTCTATTATACTCCCATTCCAGCCAGAAGGAGTCACACTGTACAGAGTGACTGTATTCATTTCTCAGCTTAAGGAGAGGGCGTATTCAAGGGTTATGGGAAGTAGTGGAGTGGTGACTGCAGAGTCATTACACCTTGATCTTACAGACAGGGCTAATGCATTTCGCCATTATTATGTTTTAAGAGGATTCATGGCTGCCCTTAATATTGTCTCTCCAGAATTTGACAACCATGCTAATTTATTTACAAATATAGGACTGCTGTTGCCAAGCGGCTTCGCTTCACTTCACCGAGTCCCATTTGGCACGAGTCAATACCAAAACAGGAAGTCAATAACGTCACTCTCTCCCTATTCCCCAATTTCTCTCACTCCACTGCTTCCTGGGAGTAGAAGCAACACACACAAACAAACAACACACACACACATGTTCTCGAAAGCACATGATAGACACTCACACACACACTCTGTAACTCATAAACTCCCCCTTCCCCCATGAGTCTAGTGGAAATGCTTTTAACAGCTGCCTTTAGAATGAAGTTCCACCACACTAGTGTATGCTCCCGAGAGAGCCACACACACACACACACACACACACACACACACACACACACCACTCAAACACCCCCCACAAGGCTGTGGATGTAATGAGGGCGTCCGGTACCCTAGCGGGGGCCCTAGCTCACACAGGAAATGGAGTAGCCAGATAAAGCTTTCTGCTGGCCAGATGATGAGGAGTCAGCGTGAAGGCAAGGCACGAGCAAGACCAGCACCAAAGAAGAAGACTCGAAGGAAAACATACATAGATTCAAAATCTAGCTGGTGCAAACTGATTATTATTCCCCCCACAGTGACTGTTCTGTAAAAACACTACAGTCTATTTGCTCTGCTCATGTTGGATGTCTTATGATTTGCTGTTAATGCTAAAACTTTGTCTACTTAAGTTTAAACTATAAACCAAGATAAATACTATAATTTTCACTCAGTTGTCATTTTATTATTAGGTAAACCTAAATAAATCCAACCCAGTCTGGTACAACGGTCCTACAGTAAATCCTCCCTTCATGAAGGTTATAATGTTCAGTGTTTGTTAAAACTGTTGTAGAGAGGTGCTGAATCAACTTGAAGGTCTACCCTCAATGATATAAATGAGGTGGACAATATGTTAGAGACACATCTCAGTGTAACACAATACCAATAAACAGCACCAAAAACTACGGCTTTCATAATAAACAAAAAAAAGTTGAATCAACACAGTTTCAATAATTATAACCTTCATCAAGTTAGGATTTATTGCAGGACTGTTGTAGTAGTCTTCTCTACTTTTAGCTGGATGTATGTTCAAAGTACATTAATACATATGACTTTAGCTATCCAGGTTTACCTAGAAAGATTCAGACTTCTAAAAAGTAAGTCAGTTGTTCAGGGCCTTAATATATGTAGGCTTCTAAAAAGGTACATATTGCTAGAGCTGAAATTATTATTCACTTCAAATCATTTGATCTGCAACGAGTCTAACAACTGAGTGATATTCAAGTCATTTTTAAAAAAAAAAAAGGTCCCTAAATTCCAGTTTCCAAATGTGAATTTTTGCTGGTTTTCCTCATTGACTTTGATAGTGAACTAAATAACATAGGATTTGATGGTTGTGGTTCGATATTTGTTAGATCGCACTTGCAGTTCAGAAAATGATCTCCAGATTCAATGATTCTTGGAAGATCATCAATTTCCTCACTTGGCCAATAGCATACAGGATAATATCTAAAACATATAGGCCTAGGGCTAAGTGATGTGATGACTTGGCTATATTTAAACATTATAAAATATATAGAGTAAAAGCTTTGTTTTGGCCAGTTTTTATACCAAATATACAGGGATGTAACACAAGGGAAACTTCTCAAAACTAAGTTTATTCTTACAGAAATATTTCACATAAGGCCCCTTGTATATAGAGTGAAACTCATTTTGGCTTTGATAAGACCTAAAATAATAAAGAAAATGCATTTCCTATCCTTGATATGGGTTTAAATGTGTGACTCATAATACACTTAGACATACAGTTAAACCCATATTTTCACAGCCACATTACTAGCATGACAGTATAAACCAAGTTTCTACTCTGTGTTGCTGAATGAGCCAAATGTGGAACCAGACAGCGTTTCCAACTGTCCCCTCTAAACTCTTTCCCGGTGTAATACCACGGTCTGTAGCCACGAATAGATAACCTTAAACCCCCGAAATTAATATTTTACATCCGTGGAGGCTGATAAAGGCGAGCTCGGCCTGTTTCGCAACAATTCAGCTCAGCCACTGGAACTGACAGTGATGCAATGAGAGCAATAAAGCGCCAGAAATCGATACAATATTTCCGCTCCACATTCTGGAGCATTTCGCAACAAATCCATTGCGCACTGCCATCGCCGCTCGCTTCGGTGCGCACACGCAATGCACAGGGCCAAAATACCTCCAGGTCGGGCCGAGGCTGGAACATTTAGGGCGATGTAACACAGAAAGGAGTAAGTATAAGCATAAAGACTATTGAGGCCTACCTGTTCTTCCTCAGCCGATAAAGTAGCTGCCATGGCCCCCGTCAGTTCTCCGATCACCGTTTACCGAGACGCGTCCTTTTCATAAAGTGTAAGATGACGGAGATGCCTGTGTGTCTGTCCCTCGTGTAAAAACGGGGTTTAGGGGTTGTCCCTCTAGCTCAAAGTTGAAGGCATCTGAAACGCTGCAGTATTAGCCGAATATTTATTTTCTCTTGATGCTGTTTGTGAAACGCGCAGGAAAATTAGCCTGAATCGGCCACCCAAACTGGAGATAAAACCCGCTGATGTTGTGTCAGATTTCACCGAGGAGAAGAAAAACAGAACAGGGAAGAAAAAAAAAAGAGCACAACACTCGAGCAGCTAGACGAGGCTTTGCTTCGGCTCCATGATAACTGGGTTCAGACCATGATGTGCTGCTCATTCACCGAACCTTACAGATCAGAGGGCTACGGCTGCCCGCTGACTCCTCCATGCCATGAATTGCAAGTTTTTAGCCCTGAACGTCGCCTTTATGTTGTGTGAGAGAGACACACACACACACGCGCGCACACACATACACACACAGCCCTGAGCAGTAAGAGAGATCGGAGGCTGCATGTTGCTCTACCCCCTGGTGGTTAAGACCAGAAAATGACCCCCGCCTTCATTCATAAAAATAGGAAACCAAACAGGAAAATCACCATTTTGAATGTTGCATCTAGAGGTGTGAGGAGGACTCTGAAATACAGGGTGTTATATGAATCACAAAAACAACAAGAGCGAAAATAACGTAGCCTCCACTTACTACTAGATATAAAGTCTCCTTGCTAGTCAAATGTGTTTTGCTTAAATTGTCACTTGGATGTTAGACTGTAATGTTTAGTGCAGTTTGCCACTGAGAGACCATTTTAAAATGAGCAGGAACGTTTCTCTGAAGTTACCTTAAAGCAGAAGTTTGACATTTTGGTGAAAATTATATAAAAATAGATTATTTCCTTTTTGCCAACCATGCTAACTATGAGTAGACTGACACCACTAATAAAGTTATTTGTCCGCTACTGCTAGCAACCAGTTAGCTTAGCATAAAGGCAGGAAACAGCTAGCCTGGTGCTGTTCAAAGGCAAACAAATCTGCCTACAATCACTAATAAAGCATAATAATTGAAATGTTATATTGTTTTAGTGTCTTTTTTGTTTTTACCATTTGGGTTTACGTAGCGGAGTCTTTCTTGGCAACCAGGAGGAAGTTACTGCCCTCAGACATTAAACAAAAACTTTAAGGTTATGGCACATAGCCTAACTTGTTTTGATAAATGCTGTATAAATTGATTGTATAATTATATTATTACAACCCCTGTAAACGTGAGTTTTACAGGTGAATTTGGTTAACCTCTGGAGAGAACCAGGTTACAATTCCCTGTGTTTCCAGTCAGTTCCCGCTGTGACCCATCCACCATTGTGTCCCTGAGCAAGACACTTAACCCCTAGTTGCTCCAGAGATGTGCGACCTCTGACATAAATAGCAACTGTAAGTCGCTTTGGATAAAAGCGTCAGCTAAATGAATAAATGTAAATGTTATGCTAAGCTAAGCTAAGTGGCTGCTGTCGCTGTAGTTTCATATTTAACAGACAGGCACGAAAGAGGAATCAATCTTCTCATCTAACCCTCCACTAGAAAGCAAATAAATGTATTTCCAAAAATGTGGAACTATGGCTTTAAGTCTCAGTTTAAGAAGCAATGTTACTTTTCCATGCATTATTTTATGACATCACTAGTTTGGAAGACAATTGTGGTCAAATACCTTACACAAGCATGACGTAGAAACTTGAAGCCTCCTGTGCACATATGAGACTGTAAAGCAGTTAAAGTTTTGGAAACTTAACATATTTGCTTATTCACAGGTTTGTGAATTTTTGCAATGATGGAGCATAGCCTACTTACTTGCTTTCTTGAACTTTTTGTAGAGAAAACATAACAGACAAATTATTACTTTTTTATGTCTGAACACATGTTTGGAGGACATATTTAATATATTTCTTATCTGTCACTGTAGTCTATATTTAAAATATACTCTTTTTGTGCACATCTGTGTAGGTCTACATCACAACAGCACTCTACAAACTATCACTGCACATTACTAATGCATGTAAAGTGAGAGGAAATAACTAATAATAGGAACAGGCTCTTCCGTGATAGTTTGTTTGCAAGCAATTTAATTTGTGAAACTCTCAACTCATGCATCCCCCAGGCTACATTATAAATTAGCAGACTTTACAGGAATTGCATGACATCACTGGAAACAGAAAATACCCAACAGTATGATAAAGTCACTGTAATATGACCCACAAACACACTGCAGGTCTCCACAAGAATATTATAGGCTGGTGTCTATTTCAGCAGGGAGGTTAGTTCAAGTGCAGTCAGGAGATTGCATTCCTGCAAGACTATTGACAGCCTTTAATTCATACTTTGATGTGCTTTTAATGAGGCTGTAAAAGTATGCGATGCAAAACAGGGAGAATGTGTGTGAGAAGTTGGTAAGATTTCTCGTTGCTGTGTTAACCTTTACATCATAGATCTTTGTTATACCTGTAGATAAAGAAGGAAAAGCCTTTGGAGTCAGTTAGGCTATTTATTTCTCTGACTGTGAAGTGTTTTGTGAGAAAAGGTTGGAAATGACAGGTAAATTCACATGCTGTTTTTATTTTTTATTCCACAAAAAACAAGATCCAACAATAGGCAAAACTGTAAATAATGAGGCGTGAGAAAGTCTGGCCTAAAAACCAAAGGGAAAAGGGAGTGGACAACAATAGACTTCCTGCAAAACCAGCTGACTTCATGTCATTTGGGAAAATGTGATTGGTAAACTCTTAGCCCTGCCCATGTAATGTAAAGAAAAGTCTTTGAATGCATCAAACATTAAAGAGATGAAGGCCTGATTTGGCAGATAAACAGTTTACCCCCCAAAACCCAACAATTCTGTTGACAAGATATTGTCTACTGTGCAGTGTGTGGATGCCTGTTGCTCAACATGAGCCACTCAAGGCCCCATAATATGCAGAAATTGACTAATATTTATGCGGTTCCTGTATGCATTTAACTGGGTTTTTATAAGAATCACAAATGTACTGAGCAAAAGATAGGAACACATAACTAACTATATATTGCTGAAGACAAGGCGGCCATTTCCCTTAGTAATCTGTCTGAGAATCTGGGTGTTTTAATGAAATGAAATTTACATTTTAGTTACACACACATTATCGACTGACATCACACATGGTGACCGTTGATTCTGATGGTTTCTAGACCCAAGATGTTCAACTTGATTGTTTTCTAAATATAAAGTTCTAAAGAAATGTAATCAACGAATACTCCCCCCAGAATTATAATCGATATGAAGAAGGCTTTGATACAACTGTGCATTAAGGCCATTGAAGGGGAAAAAACCCCAAAACATTACGGAGCCTGGGGAGGGGGAAATATTCTGAGAAAACTTCCAAGATTAAAGTCGAAAATGTATGAGAAAAAAACTATTCTCTGATAAAAAAAAGTGGTATATCTCAACGGTTTAAGGTGTATATATAAATGATAAGCCTCTTTAAAGCTCACTATAGAAGACATTGTGGTTTTACAGGCCATTTTCTAAATGATAGTTTAGTGAGCTTTAGAGGTGCTGGTAGGCAGATTTTGTTACCTACCATGTTTGCTGTTTCACCCTGTTTCCAGTATTTGTGCTAAGCTGCTAAGTGGTTGCTAGCTGTAATATATATTTACTGTACAGACATGAAAATGGTATCATTTCAGTCATTAAAAGCAGGAGTGTATGCCAACCACACAGGCTAAACATCATATGTCTAACAGGTACTGTAGAGACATCTGCTTCCCTATCTAAAAGTCTTGTGACAGGGTTTTCAGAGATCAGAGTGGCCCAACCAACATTGTGTGTGTATGCATATGTGAGTAAGAGAGCTCTGAAATGTGTAACTGTGGACGTACAGGTGCTCAGTTCCTGGAAAGTGATCGCGGCTGCTGACTAATAGCTGAATTCTTGCAGTAACCACATGCCTGACTATGCTCACTTTGACAGGGCTCTCGGTTTAGGGGTGACTGAATGTGAAAGAAAAAACATCCGACTGTACTCGATGAACAAACATCTTTTTCTGAAATACTCTAAGTCTGTTGTTTTCTGCAGTTATCATCCATAAGAAATTCAACTACATTATTTTGATTTATCTCAAACCACACCAACGCTGTTATCACCCATATCATTTTAACTTCCTTGCCTACATTTAGGTAGAACTGAAATTTTTACCAAAAAGCTGATGACAAAAAATTACAACTTGATTATAGCTTGCTACTACTAAATAGTGTTATCACTGTTGTAGATAAGATGTAGGAGTATGTGATGTTTAATGCTTTCCAGGAGTTATCGCATTGCGAGATATTGTAATTGTGGTTTACTGTGTTTCCCTCAGCTGCATTGTGCACCTTCCTCCACTTCAGTTAGTGATATCATGTTTCCCAGAATGAGTTAATCCCCACTAAATGGTTGAAAATGTTATCTTCACCCGCTGATGTTCTGTGTAGGCGGTGAGAGCAATAGTGATACCACTATACCAGAGCAAGAAAAGGAGAAAACAAGATTTTTTTTTCCCAGTGTAGAAAAAGTGAGTAGTGGCACGAAACACAAGACACAACATGTCGTTTAGTTGCAGTGCATTCTCGTCTAGAGAGGCTGCAAGTGGCGAAGATAGCTATGCCTTTCTTACAATAATTTCTTTACTTGTTACGTGTTTTTTGGACTTGGACTATTTCCTGTTGCGTGTAGCCAGCTTTAAAAGTTAAACTCCACTGAGTATACAGTATCCTGAAATGTGGTCATGTCTTATATCTGTAATTGGGACACAAAATTTGTCTCCAAATGATAACCTAAGTCCAAAAATTGCTCTGAAGACCAAGAGTCAACAGCCAAGCTAGCAGCTCTTGGGAAGCATCATTCTTTGGAAGCATTGCTTTGAGCTAAATGCTTACACCAAAACGCTAACATGCTCACAATCACCTGCTGATGGTAAGCAGGTATAATATTTATCATTTCCACCGACTTACTTTAGCATGTTACCAATAGCATGCTTTTATATCTTAATTAGTATTAAATAAAAGTACAGCTTAGGTGGAAGGGAATGTCAGTTTTGCAGGTACATGTACATAACCAAAACTGAACAAAATATAATTTGGTGATGGCGCTGGATAAAAACTTAAGGGATTACTAAAGTGATTACAATTCATCCCGAGGACATGAATATGTGTACCAAATATTATGTCAATCCGTCCAAAAGTTGTTGAGACATTTCATTTTGAACTACAAATGTCAACCTTGTGGTTGGAAAAAATAAGGATATCACCAAAGTCATTAGGATACATCATCTGGGGACATAAACATCTGTGCAATAAATGTGTGCCAATCCAAGCAAGTTGATGTAGATATATTTCACAGGATAAGTGAAAACTGATCTGTTGATAGAACTAGTGGAAAAGTTAGAGGACCACCAAAAATAGACCTCAGTATGTCAAAGGTGGACACAG